CTACCACTGAAAAAGAGGTATAATCCTCAATGGACCTTTCTGAATGGCCGGTTGACTGAGAAGGAGTATATTCACACCTGACTTATAGATAGTTCTCCATGATATGCTGGAACCACATGAAAGTGGGTGCTTGTAGTAATACAGCCCCACTCCAAGGTGTCCCTGGAGGATGGTGATGCACAGAAATTCAAGCTGAAAATAAAAATTTTCTACACTTCTGGGAAAAGTCTGATTGTTCTGTAGCCATGGTAATAAGTCGCAACCAGAACTATTTTTTTAAATTAACCTTTTTATTTGGTTGTAATTGTAGGTTCACATGCAGTTGTAAGAAAAAGCACAGAGAGATCCTTTGTACCCTTCACCCAGTTTCCTCTAATAGTAACGTGTTGCAAGATTATAGCATAATATTACAATCAAGGAACTCATATTGATACAATTCACCGATATTATTCACACTTCACCCGTGTGTTTGTGTGTGTGTGTGTGTGTGTGTGTGTGTGTATTTTTTTTAATTTTATTTTTTAGGCGAGGCAATCCTCGGTTGACTTCACAGATTGCAAGGACCTTGTCAGCTTACAATTCTTATTTTTTAATTTTATTTTTTACACCTACAGCACCTGGTCTTCCTAGGTGGTCTCCCAGCCAAGTACTAACCAGGCCCGACCCTGCTTAGCTTCTGAGAACAGACGGAATTGGGCTTGTTCAGGGTAGCATGGCCATAGAAGTGTGTGTGTGGTATTTAGTTCTATGCAATTTATATCACATGTGTGGGTTCATGTGCCCAGCATGGCAGTCAAGGTATGCAACAGTTTCACCATCACAGGGATCTCTGTACTTCTCTTTTATGAGCACACTCACTTCTCTCCCACTGAGCTCCCCACTCCATCCCTAATGCCTTGCAACCATTAATCTTTTTATAATTTTGTCATTTCGAGAATGTTATATCAATTACCTTTTGTAATCATATTGTAAATGTTTTAAAATTCACTGTTTGATTTTATTTGTATATAAAAATACAATAGAATTTTATATTTTGATCTTCTAATGTGTAAAACTCATAACATGAGTTTTTTTTTTTTTTTGGTAGATTCCTTAGGATTTTCTACATGGATGATCATGTCACTGCAAATAAAGATAGTTTTACTTTTTCCTTTTAAATTTATATAACTTACATTTCTTCTTCTTGCCTTATTGTACTTGGTAGGCTCTGCAGTATAATGCTGAATAACAGTGATGCGAAGGACATTCTTGTGTCATTCTCCAACTTAGGGGGAAAGCATTCAGTGTTTTACATTATGTATGATGTTAGGTGTAGGGATTTGTAGATGCTCTTCATCAGGTTGAAGAAGTTCCGTTCCTTGTTTGCTTAGAGTTTTTTTGTTTTTTAATCACTAATGGATGTTGGATTTCATTAAAGACTGCATTGATTGAGATGACCGTATAGTTCTCCATTTTTCGTCTGTTAATGTGGTTAAATTACACTAATTTTTGAGTGTTTAACTTTACAGTCCTACCACAAACTCCACTTGATCTTGATGCATTTTCCTGCTCTCTATTGCCATATTTGATTTTCTAAAAATTAAAAAAGAATTTTTGCATCTATTATTGCAGTGGGCAGCCTGTAAGATGGTCCTCCATGAACCTTGCCTCGTGGTACTTATCGTGTTTGTAATCTCCTCCCCTTGCATGTGGAAAAGACTAACTGACTCACTTCTAGTTACTAGACTATTGTAGAAGTGATAGAACACTACTTTCAGGGTTAGGTTGCTAAAAGAATGTAGCTTCTGTGGTGGGGTCTTTCTTTCTGTCTCCTCCCTTGCTCTTTTACATTGGGAGAAGCAAGCTGGCATACTGTATGTAACTCTCTGGAGTGACTCACATAGTGTGGTGATGAACTAGGCCCTTGGTTTCACAGCCTAGGAAGAACTGAGGCCCCAGGCTCTGTGGAACTGAAGCCTATCTACAACCACACAAGTGAGCTTCGAAGTGGATCCTGTAGCCCTGGTCAAGTTTTCAAATGAGACTGCAGCCCCAGTCAACAACTGGACTAGGCTTTATGGGTGAAATTGAACCAGGAACACTTAGCTAAGTCACACTTGGATTCCTGACTCACAGAAATTGTGGGTTTTAAGTCATTACGTTTGAGGGTAATTTGTTACACAGCAGTAGATCATTAATATCTGTTCATGAGAGATATTAGTCTGTTGTTTCCTTTTGTTGTAATGTGTTTGTCTGGTTTTGGTATCAGGGTAATACTGGCCTCAAAGAATGTGTTGGAAAATGAGCCCTCCTCGTCTGTTTTTTAAGGGTTGGGTAGAATTGGTGTTATTTTTTTCCTTCACTGTTCCATAGAATTCACCAGTGAAGCTTTCTGTGTCTGGAACTTTGTTTGAAGGAAGATTGTACTCTAAAGAACATTATCATTGACTGAGTTTGGTAGTTTGTGTCTTCAAGGAATTTGTCCCTTTCACTTAATTTGTCAAATTGACAAGCATAAAGTTATTCACAATATTCCCTTATTATTCTTTTTAATATCTGTAGAATCTGTAGTGATGTTGCTTCTTTCATGGCTTATGTTGGTAATTTGGGTTGTCTTTTTTTTTTCTGATCAGCCTAGATAGAGATTTATCAATTGTATCGATCTTCTCAAATAACCAGCTTTGCTTCATTGATCTTATCTACTGTTTTTCTGTTTTCTAATTCTGTTATTTTGATATTATCTTATTATTTTCTTTCTT